ACTAAGAATCAACTACCAACTAGGCCCTCTAAGGCCCAAATCCAAACTAGGCCCACAAGGCCCATCTCCAAACTCCTTAGGCCCAAATTGGGAAATTCAATCAGATCAGTCCACACATGGCCCAAAACAGAAAGCCGAAAACCCAAAACCAACTCCAAGATACCCTTGGCTCTAAAGAACAACCCGAACCCTTTCATCACATAACCAACATCACCCACATCCAAATGGGTCCACACCTTTCTTCCCTAATGCCCTAAACCTTATGATAACTGATGATTGGGCCGCAACCCCAACTAATAAAGCGATTCAGAACCGAGTGTTACATAATTTGTTTTGTTCGTAGGACAAGCGACAACGAAAAAACATTACAATAGCAAATATCGTCGAGGCGTAACAAGATCTTATAGTCTAGTCACTCACACCAAAAAATCAAAGCCCACTCTCCTCCCTCCAATGCCACACAAAGACTACCTTGAGAATCAAAACACACACCAAACATAGATCGGAAGACTACCATGACATATAAAAAACCCTACTGGAAGTCTACCTTGAAAATCAGAACACACACCAAACATACACTTTGCTGTAACAGGATAACACAAAACAGACCAATAGCCAAACCCCACCAGGAACCCAAGAAACCAAAGCTAATTACATACGAAAATTGTCATTGGGGAGTTACACTATATATACCAATCCAACATTTTTAAATTAGATTTATGCTTAATCCAGTTAAAAGTGCAAGTGTTAATGTCATCCGCCATAAGCATAATTGGAGGCAATGTAATTAATAATTAATAGGAGCTGGTAAAAGACGATCAACACCGGCCTAGGTGGGCTAGTCAGTTAAAGATGGTCAACATAAATCAACATAAATAAAAAATGAAAACTTTTTTTAAACAATAACTTTTTTACCCTAATCGACTAAAGGGCTCATTCTTTATGGTTTCCATTTTCAACGCATACCATCGACATTCGCTATTTCCTTTCTGTGACTCCGCTTACAAACCTCCTCATCAGTGCGTCGCCGACAACGCCTACAAGTCTCCTCCTCGGTGCAATGTCGAAAGTGCCTACAAATTCGTTGGTGGTGCTTATAGATTCCTAACGTCGGTAGTTGTGACTACAAATTAGTTGATGGTGCCTACAAATACCCAACAATAGTGCTTACTGTTTCCTACAACTTCTTCCTCGATAAGATTTCACTTTAATTCGCATCTTTTGTTGTTAGATTACGTATTACAAATTGGTGTATCAGTTCGGTGCATTCGTATACGTATGTTTATGTGTATATGTGTAATAATAATAATAATAATAATAATAATAATAATAATAATAATAACCTTTATCATAATATAAACATACAATAAGATATAACAACAATAAACATAATAACAAAAATATTAATAATAAATATAATAAAAATCGGTTTAGAAAAAATATTTTTAAGATTTGTATACTCGATTTTCTAAAAAAAATCTATTTATAATTATTTTTTTTGTATTTTTTAAATTTCCATAGATAAATAGTAGACAATCACTAATAATTGCTTATATAAATAATTATTATTTTTAATTATCTCAATAATTTATTAATTCATAGGAAAATAGGAAATTATTAATATGAAAATTTTCATTTACACCAAAATTTGGCTTACTCCCGCTCCCCCCAAAAAAAGAAATTAGATTTAAATTTTCACACCCACTGTCGCCTCCTTCATCTTAATCTTCGCACCCTCCAAGCGTTAATTTAAGCCTCCATCACAAGTTTGCTAAAATTTAACCTAACCTAATTTGAAAGACAATCAGAGTTTCAGATCGTCTCCATCCATCGATATCTTCTGCCTTCGGCTTTCTTTCTCACCAGTTCATTCTATGTGGTCCATCTATCCTCCACCATCGGTGAGTTCCTCAATCACATATGACGATCTAGGTAACTGCTTCAATCCCTCAATCGTGTTTGGAATCAGATTTAAACTATGGTTGTTTCACTATTTGAGAATTGGTTAATGCTTATAGTTTATGTGTTTTAGCTCATCGACGACTTCTTCAAACTCCTCTGCTCCATCTATAATCCAGGCGACCAAACTCCTCTACTCCATCTATTATCCAGGCGACCAAGGTTATTACTCCAATTCTTCAAATCTGTTTGGAATTAGACTCAAACCATGGTTGTTTGAGTTATGTATGATGCTCCTAGGTTGATGCTTATAGTTTATTGTTTGATGCTTCAAGCTATGCGATTTTTCCATTTGAAGGTCTGCCATCAGAGTGTGTTTGATGCTTATAGTTTATTGTTTGAAAACCATTAGATTATTGCCTGATGCTTCAAAACTAATTTCGTTTGATGCTTCCATTTGAAATTTTGTCATCAGGTTCTTGTTCGATGCTTCAAGTCAACAAATTGTCTTTGTATTTCATGCTTAAAATGCTATAAAAGGTTCATATTTTCTATGTTAGTAAAATGATATAATTAATCAATCGGTGTCCTAATAGATGCTCTACTAAAGAGAATTCACTGCCCATAGCACGCCAAGAGACTAAAGTGAGCAACTTTTGACTAGTTTCATGAAGAAACCCTATGACTGGTTTTCTTTCAATCTTCTCAATTTGTTTTTCTTATACTTCCAATATTGAAGATCTAAAGAGACTTTTTTTAGAACAACAGTGAGATCTAATGAGACTTTATTTCAATGTTAACAGACTTTTCTCCCAAGAGATCTCAAGTGATGTTACAATCCACACAGGAGGTGTTTCTTTTTCATTATACAAGGTATAATTCACGTATACCCTTTTGATATTATTCCTCTTATGTAAGCTTATACTTTATTTCTTTAAGTCTATGTAGTTTCCATATGTTTCAACTTTCAAAGCATGGTTACATAAGAAAATTAGTATCCAACCCCAAAGATTCTGATCTTTTGGTAATTGAAATCTCTGTTGGATCTGAACTTGCAACAAAGTTTTGGCATGGAATTTACTTCAAATTATCAACAAAAAACATTTCCATGGTGAGATGTGTTTCAGAATTTCTTGAAATGACAGAAGATTATGTAGTTGGAAATCTCATAACAAGATCAGAAGCTTATTTAAATGAAGTAGGACTTATATACATTGGATGGTGTTATTCCATTTTGTTGAAACATAAATGCGGTCTTAAATACTGATGATTGCTTATTAATTAATGCATAAACCTAAAAACACAACGACATTGTGGATTGTTAGCTTGGATTTGTTTTAGAATTGGTTAATGCATTGGATTTATTTATGCATTTTGGGTTTATTGAATTACTTAATGATTTTTTTTTAATAAAAAAATATTAAAAGGACCCGGTTGCATATTAAGAACTGGGCTATAAAATAAAAGAAGAACGATCTTGTGTTTTGTAATAGAATCCGGTTTGTGCATGAAAACCGGTTTGTATGGCCACACAAAATCTATCCTGTTATGGAAAATAAAAACCGGTTTTACATATAGGAACCGAGCTTTATTTCACTTATATGACCCGGTTTCAAAACCGGGTCCTATTGAGATTTATGTATAGGACTCGCCGAACATAAGACCCGGTTGAAAACCGGGTTTTATTAACCTTTAAACCGGGTTTTATAAGTCTTTTTGTAGTAGTGGTTGGAACTACTTGGTTATGTTTTTTGCTACTTTAATTTGGTTAATGTTATGTTATTTGGTACTTGAATTTTATTTAAATTTATGTTATTTGCTACTTCAATTTTAGTTAAATTTATATTATTTGCTACTTGAATTTTATTTAACGTTATGTTATTTGTTACTTTAATTTTATTAATGTTATGTTATTTGGTAATTGAATTTTATTTAACGTTATGTTATTTGCTACTTGAATTTTAGTTAAAGTTAGGTTCTAATTTACATGCTTGTATTGATTAATAAGTTCGTAATGGATCACACGATAAAAAAGATATTTCTCGTGATTCTTATGTACCTGTATGTCTGCTATTTTTGGAAGAGGGTGTGAAACAAGTGTGGGACAACGATTCAAAAATGACGGGATATGAATACACGTTAGAGTTATTGGAACGTAATCATCTACAATGTATTGAAGTACTACGCATATCCCATGATTGTCATTTTAGAGTAAATTACTCGTTAAAGGATAACAAACATGTATCGGTCGAGGAAAAGATGACTGTGTTTTTTATGATGATCCGTCATAATCAACGTTACGTGATTACAAAGTGGAAATTTCAACACTCAAAACAAACAATTCATAAATTTTTTTCATGAAGTATTGGACAAAATGATACTTTTCGCAAAAGACGTTAGACTACTTTTAATCCGAATTCAAACATTATGGGACATAATAAGATGCTACGAAGGGTTTTCAAATGAGCAGTTGGTGCATTTTATGACACTTTGATACATGATGTTGTCCCTGCTAAGAAACAAAATTTAGATAGATGTAAGGGAAAAGTTGATTGTTACCAAAATGTATTGACAATTTGTGACTTCAACATGATGTTTACGTTTCTTGTGGTCGGTTGGGAAGGGATATCACATGATTTTAAAATATTATCAGACGTAGTAGCAAATCCACATGCAACATTTATTTTTTCATCATCAAGTAAGTTTATGATTATTTAAATAGTTTATCTTATTTTGAAAATTGCTTGATTTTTTCATTTTTACATATAAATATTGTCTTTGTGATGTCGCATATGCATACACTCGATGATTTATAGCCTCGTATCATAAGAGGCTTGTAGATTTCCGTCAAAGACATACATTAACCAATAACGAAAAAATTAACCATGCACTTGCAAAACTTTGGAACGTCATTGAGCATGTTTTTTGTGTTTTGAAATCACGATTCCCTATATTAAAGATGATGACACCATTCTTGTTGATTACACAAAGAAACATTACTATTGCGTGTTTCACATTTTATAATTTTATAAGAAGAGAGACTGAGTGATGGGTATTTTGCATGATACGATGAACCAAATGTCTCGTTTCGAAATAATAATATGCATGTTGATGATGATGATGATGATGATGACGAGATTCTAACACATTGTACTGCGGAAGACTGTGAATATATTACTCAGTTATGAGATAAAATTGTTGTGCATTTGATGCAGAATATTAAATGAGAATTATTAAAATTTAGTTGTACGAATTTGATTTCAAATTATTATTATAAAACTAATTTGATTGTATGAATTTTATTTCAATATTTTAAAAATATAATTATTAAAATTTCTATGTTGAAAAACTATTTTCAATTTGTAAAATCAGTTTATATAAATTTCAATTTATTGTAGTCTGCAGATGTTAAAAAACAAACAGACTTCTTATTATAGGTTGCAGTCGTTTGATTCACCTCTTTTGATGCAAAAGGTTGCAGAGATGATACGCAGACTTCATGAATTTTCGTTTCGAAAAAACAAACATTTTAGTAGTGGTGATGGTGGTCGTAGCTTAGTGGTGGTGGTGGTCAAATGTGTGGTCGGAGATGGTTTTCGGTCATTGAACATAAGAAGGGGAAGAAGGTTAGGGTAGTTTGGGTTTTTCAAATAGAAAGGTCACTTTTATTTAATTAATGCTCTT